GCATTTCCCACTGGCAATAGTTATATGTAAGAATATACATAGACAGTCGCTTCTTAAACTATCGCCATTCCCTTCCTCTTTTCGACATTTGTAAATAATTACACTACACAATTTTTAATTAGGGGCTTTCATCATACATACATATGTATGTATGTATGCTTGTATATTACATACATACACCATTGTACATACATATAGCTTAGGTGCAGTATTTATTGAGGAAGTAAGTAGTGTGCTTACATTGCAGTAGGAAATGTGAATACATGACAAGTATTCAATTTGAAGTGATTGTTTTATTTGACCAAAAAATGTAGTTTTTGTTTGCACTTTGCAAAGTGATATCACTGTGTTGGAGTGATATTAAACCATAATTTTAGCTTGAAAATCAAAATTTTTATAACTGCAATATTCGTTTTTTTTTTGTTTTTAAGTTCCGCTCGGCTGCTGCTTAATTTAATAGTTAAGTTGATTGTAGCAAACAAAAAATTACAAATTAAAGCAAAAATTATTTCTAATAGATTTACCTTCTGTCTATCTAGTGCGCATATAACACACAAAACGATAGGGCCCTCCTTTTGTTGGGCGAAATCAAGGTTTTTTTTTATATTTGTATCGCTATTTTTAAGTTTTACTGTACATATTTCTGCTTTTCAAAGGTCATGTATGCATATTTGTACATTAGGCTGGTGATTCAACTGCGAAATTTTGTAAAAAAAAAAAATAGTTTTTTTTTTGATTGTGTTGCTTATTGGCCGTTGAGTTCTGTTCTGAAGGCGAAATATCGACCAAAATAAAAAGTAAATAAAACAGAAAAACATTTAATGTTTTATTTAACATACGGCCTATAGCTCAAAAATAATTATTAAAGTTTTTTTTTTTTTGGCCTTATAACAATTATATTCAACCATTTTTATTGAGCTCGAGGCCGTTTTTTTATAAGGCAAAAAAAAATTACTTAAGGACGAGCACACCTAAAAAAGTTAAACATTATTAAAATAGAATTATTAGCAAAACCAACAATACCAACAACCACATGATCAAGTGAATTGCAGCGGAATAGCTGCGCTTGATTGTGTTGGCATAACAAAAATGAAAATAGTGGAAAAAAGCAAACGATAATTTACAAGGCGTACTTAGCACGGTGCATAGGCAACTGGCTGAGTCAGTGGGATCGTCGGTTCGAAGCCTACTGAAAGAAGTCTGATGAGGAAATGTGGTGATTTCCGAAATAGCTATCACTTCTACCATTTTTTCACATTATTGTTTCTTTTCCACAATAAATTTTCATTAAAAAACTGCCTCGAGCTCAATAAAAATTGTTGAATAAAAAATTGTTATGAAAAAAAAACTTGATTTTTATCACTTGATCACTGTTTTAGGGCGCGAGTAAGGCGAAAAATATTATGGTTTTACAATGCCAGCAAAGGCAACGATCCAAGTTAGGGTTGGAGTGGATTGTTACACTTTTTTTGTTTTGCCTTAAACCGACCCTAACTAATGTTAATGTTGGAATGGCGCATACATAAATAATATAAATAGAAAATAAGATAAAATAGTATGCTAAAGCGAAAATTTATAAACGTAAGCAGAAATTTCATTACACTTAGGTATTTCCTGTTAAAATGTAATTGATATCGACAAGTATTTATTTTTCGAACTCTTCAAGTTTTTCTATTGCTGGAACTTATCTTTTTAAGCAAACAATGTATAAAAACATACATATGTACATACGTATGTACATGTGCCATACAACCGTTTTTGCTCACACGTTTCATGCTGCAGCAACTATAATTCGCATTGACTTTACAACGGTTTTGGTGTCGGTCATAGACATATCTAATGAGCGTTTTTATAATCGCAATAGCCTTCAACTCCGCCACAATCGCATTGCAAGCATTGCGGTTTGCGTGTATTTTTCTGCAATTAAATCAATTACTTATGGTTGTTTAGCTTTATTTCGTTGAAAATTTTACAATTGTATTTCCAGCACTAATACAATGGTGCATACTGTACATACATACACACATATGTGTGTAAACAAACGATACAGTGTGCTCACTTACAGTAGCGGTAAAAAAATAACATTAAAATATAGAAAGATAAAAAATATTTCATTGGAAAATAAAGTTTGCCGTCAGTTGTTCTCTGACCAGTAAATGATAGAACATCAAGTGCTGTCAAATATATTTTTCTCTTTTTGGCCAAGTTAAGCATATCACGCCAGTCGTTTCTTTTCTGTGCCAATTGACGTCAATTGAAAATTCTAAGTGGAGCCAAGTCCTTCTCAATCCCATATTACTAGCGCAGACAAGGCCTTCCTCTCCCCCTGCTACCACCAGCGTACTTCGCGTTGAATACTTTCAGGCCTAGAGTGTTTGCGTTCATTAGTACGACAAAACGGAGTTAGCAGATCCAGATCCGCTGCACTATGTATGTATGTGTTGTTGGAAAGCTCTGGCAGCCCGTCGTTCTATCGTCTGCGGTATTTGTTTTCACCAACGCACAAAGGTCCGCAAATCTTCAGCAGAATTACACTCGAATTATCAATTGAAGGTATCAGGTTCGCGGCGTGATGTCGACTACATTTGACCGCTAATCTTCACCGCTGATGCTCATTGGCCTTTTTAGGTTATCCGGAACTTTGTTGTTGTTGTTGTGGTTGTGGACACAGCGCTAGTAGCAGAGGCTTTCGGCTGACTGGTGAATGAGGGCAAGTTAGATACGACGAAGTATATCAGAGTCTTTTAAAGTCGGAAATTTTAGAGATGCTATCATATGTAGAATTCATTAGTAGTTGCATTGGATCCAAGTTATATTTTCAAGCGCAGGGCAAAAGACTAGTAAATGTAAGATGTTGATTTCAGATTCACAAAGGGGGCACCGGCTTTGGCGACCACCATTTAATAAATGAAAGTTTGTTATTATGGTATGACCAATGCGAAGACGAATGTACGGAGTGATGTAATTAAATAGCAGGAACAAACAACGGACTGTAAAGTTTACTACGGTAGGGGTTGATCATAGAGTAATGATGATTATAATTGACCTAATCTACAGCTAGTTTTGTGTGCCTCAGCTGAGAAACATGTCGAAATATATCGTTCTTACTGAATAGAGATGAAAAAAATTGTAGGGGAGTTGCATACTTCTTTAGCCAATCAATCCGTCAACAAATTTCGCCTAATTCCTGAAATGCCCAGCACCCACATCATTTTAAGTTTATTCGGAGAAGATATGAGGAAGTTCCTTATGCCACAAATAACATTATTAGAGTTGCTGTAATTTTTAATAACTAGCTTGAATGCAAGACAAACTGTTAGTGCATGTGATATAAGGTGCGTTCGACAAGTCAAAAATTTGTAATAGTTTTTCCAAATTTTTACTGGATGGCGTTCGATAACGACAAAAAATTATCCAACACACAAAATTTGAGAGAGCAAGCGTTCATTTTGATGCAAGAGAAGCGTTCATTTTGTACTGGCAAAATTTTAGTCAGCAAAAATTATCCAACACGAAAACATATGATCACAAAACATATGGTTGCAATTTTTGTAAACAAACAAAATTGCATTTTCCGAGTTTTGGTATTTATATGCTTTTTGGCTGCCTGCTATGTGACTTTATGATAGCGCCAACTAGTTTTTACTTCTAGAAATGTTCCTGGCGAACATTGAACGTTCACTTTCCTTTTTTCTTCTATGGAGGCAACATGAATTTCAGTTTGTTTACAAATAAAACATAAACAAAGTCAGCTGGTGTGTCTTCTTCTTCCGGTTTTTGCAAGTAATGGCTAATTTCCTGTTCGTTTACTTTTTTGCTTTTTCATCTCTTTGGGAGAGAATTTTGGCTTACTCTCTTGATTTTGATTGTTGGCTGGTGTTGGCTAATTTTGTTATCGAACGCAACTATACTTAACGGCATTAAGAATTGCTAAAGCTTCCGCTGTGAAGACAGAACAATAAAATTATAGTTTAAAACCTCGCTATTATAATTTCCATTCATACTGTCATCAGGTTGAGAATAGAAATCGCTGCATCTTTTAGGCGCATCAATATTACATAGTTACATCCCGAGCTAATATAAGGGAGGTAAAAAGGAAACAGCAAACCATCAGATACGGGAAAGCGATTTCCTGTAATTGCAGCATAGCTTGTATGTATGATAATTTTTTTACATCTCCGTATATAAATATATACTGCCAGCCAGACAATTTAAAAATCCGAGCAAGGAGTACTAGATTTAGGAAGATGAACCATACCATTAATGAATGAATCCTCTTTCAATGTCCACGGCGGAAGTCGAAAACGCCAAGGCCGTAACTTATTTGTTCATTAATTTTTTAAACTGCTGAATCAAAGTTGTGGCTTTATCAGCTTCAGTAAATTTATTGTTTTTTACATTACAGGAACCATAATAAATTCTTGCTCTTATAAAACAATTTGATCTATTAATACATACATATGTAAATGTATGTATGTATGTGCTACATTGATTTAAAGCGGTGATGGGCACCGCCTTGCCCGCGGGCAAAGCTCTTTTAAGCCTTCTATACATTTTGTATAGGCGCGTCCAGAGTAAAAGCTCTCTCTGCCCATCGCTGATTTAAAGTCACTACAGGTATGTAAGTGTACCGTTTTTCTGTCCGCTACTGCAGTTAAATATGGACTTACGTATGTACATACATACATATACATACATATGCATTTATGTCCGAACGGAAACTTGTTTCTAATTTTTTCGCTGATTTTTTAATCATTGCATTGCAAACTAACATATTAATACATATATACATATGTGCCCATAAATGCTTTGGAGCAGCTTTTTGTAAAAGATATCATGTTTACTTTTTCTATATCTCTGTAAATTTCCGTAAACGATCACATGCTGGCGTGATTTTCTTTTAAATACACAAATGTATGCATCTATATCTCCATCGTTTGTAACTGCTTATAAACATATTGCACTTTTCTTAAAGATCAATTAATTCATTCTATTAATTAACATTCCCAAACAATTTCTTGCAGTTTATTCACATCACAAAATGGGTCTACTAAGCGAAGGCAGTCCACTCTCCTGGGAGGAAACCAAAAAATTAGCCAGTCATGTGCGCGAGCATGGTATTACTCAATTCATAAATCTCTATCACAGGCTGAAAGATCGCACTGGTGACATACTCAAATGGGGTGATGAGGTCGAATATATAATTGTGAAGTTCGACGATGCTAATCAAGTGGCACGCGTCTCACTCAAAGCTCAGAAACTTCTAAATAAACTCAACGAAAAAGAGCTGGCCGATCCTAATGGTGTCAAATCATTATGGCGTCCAGAATATGGTGCTTACATGATTGAGGGTACACCAGGCAAACCTTTCGGTGGTCTAATGGCACACTTCAATTTGGTTGAGGCAAATATGCGCTATCGGCGCACAGAGGTCACAGAATTGCTAGATAAAGATGAGTGTGTTATGTCTATAACGAATTTCCCACGGCTGGGCGCACCTGAATTCACCCATCCTATTTACTATCCAAATCCGAACGATCCGAATAGCTCGGCTAAATCATTATATTTCCCAGATGAAGCCATATATCCGGGTCATCCACGCTTCAAGACGCTAACACGTAATATACGTAAGAGACGTGGCGAAAAAGTCGCCATCAAATTAAAAGGTATGAGGCAATCATAATTCGCGATTATTGAATCATATGAGGAAATATCGTAAATTGAAACAAGTAATTCAATTATATCTATTTCATTTTCAGTTTATAAAGATGTAAATACAAAGCTTCCCGTTGAGGGTGCACCAAAAGATGAACCAGATGTCGTTTTACTCGACGCCATGGGTTTCGGTATGGGCTGTTGTTGCCTGCAACTTACATTCCAAGCCTGTAACATAAATGAGGCACGCAAACTATACGATCAACTTGCGCCACTGTGTCCCATCATGTTGGCACTTACTGCAGCATCGCCTATATATCGTGGCTACCTAACAGAGTCGGACTGTCGTTGGAATGTGATCAGCTCCTCGGTAGATTGTCGCACAGAGGAGGAGCGTGGTCTGCGACCATTGCGTCAAAACAAATTTCGTATCGCCAAATCCAGGTACGACTCGATTGATTCATATCTCTCACCAGAAGGCGCTAAATACAACGATGTGCCACTTACTTATGACGAAGCAGATTATAAACGGTTACGCGATGGCGGCATCGATCCGTTGCTGGCACAGCATGTGGCACATCTGTTCATACGCGATACAGTCTCACTGTTCAGCGAGAAAGTCGATCAAAACGACGAGGAAGACACAGACCACTTTGAGAACATCCAATCTACCAACTGGCAAACAATGCGCTTCAAGCCACCACCACCAAATTCGTCGATTGGCTGGCGCGTGGAGTTCCGGCCATGCGAGGCACAGATCAGTGACTTCGAGAATGCTGCCATTGTATGCTTTGTAGTGCTGCTGACACGAGTCATACTGTCGTATCAATTGAATTTCCTAATACCCATTAGTAAGGTAAGCGAGTTTAAACAATGAACAGGAAATTTAGAATTCTACATACATATTTAATTGTAGTGAACATAGAAAACAAATATAAATTTCATAGATAGCTAACATATGTACATATGTATGTAAATGTTGATTGTTGCAGGTTGATGAAAACATGCAAACTGCTCAGAAACGTGATGCTTGCCGCAAGGAAAAATTCTGGTTCCGCAAAACTTCGCGAAAGAATTGCTATATAAACAGCAATGGCGTTAACGGTGTACACAATGGCACTAAAGAGAATGGCGAAATTAATCATGAGGAATATGAATTGCTAACAGTGGGTGAAATTTTCAACGGAAAGGTAAACTGAAAAAATATCTTCTTAAATAAACAGAAACTAATAAATAAAACTTCCTGACAACTTTCTCCAGGCTGATTCATTCCCTGGCCTAGTTCCACTTATTCGCAGTTATTTGCAGTCCATGGAAGTTGACACAGACACTCATTGCACTATTGAGCAGTATTTGCGATTTATAGAGAAGCGTGCTTCTGGTGAACTGGTCACTACAGCGACTTGGATACGAGAAAAAGTGTTAAATCATCCCGATTATAAGTGAGTACATGAATTCAGATTTAATTTCTTTTAGGTATATTTCTGTGCTGAATGGCTTCATACAAAAATTTTCGAAAAATAATACAGGCCTACTAAAATAGGGGACAATTTTGGTGCGGCAAATGTTATAGCTGTTTTTGATAGACTTTTCTGAGCTGATTACGAATCCATAAGTGCAAAGTTTCCATCAGCTTCAGATTTAGAGAAAAACGAGGTCAAAGTGTCAAAAAACCGCGTTTTTGAAAGATTTTAGAAGCTCTTGCAAAGAGGTGATATCACCTTCCGTTTAGGATTATATTATGGCTTGAACTTTAGACGGCAATCCCTAAAAATAGTATCCCTGCACTTTGACCTTAAAGTCACTTATAGTCATTTATTGAACAGCAAAAACTTGTTTTGCCAAAATGGTTTTTTCCAATAGCACACTTTTTCAGTATTTTTTTATTGTTCAACAAATTACTACAAGTGACCTTAGGCTCAAGGTGCAGGGATGCTATTTTTTGGGATTGCAGTCGAAAGTTTAAGACTCAATTTAAGCCTAAGTGGAAGGTTCTATCACGTTTCCTTTCTTTGCTAGAGTTTCTCAAATATTGCATAAAACCGCGAAAATGTGGAGGTGATGGATACTTTATACTTACGGATTCTTAATCAGCACCAAAAAGTCCATCAAAAACAGTTTTAGCATTTGCCGCACCAAAATTTGTTTCAATTTTTGTTAGCCTGTGTTATTTTTAAAAATATTTTTGCTCAAGCTTATAAATATATCAGAGGTTAGGAAGTAAACGATTCATCACATCTTCGTTGCAATCCCTACTTGAAAATTTGCTTTCAAAAATATGTCTATATTGCCGGAAGTGCTTTTTTCTTGCTTCCTCTGATAGCTGCTCGAGCGGGAGAAGTGCATTATCAAAACCTTCCTCCTTCTAACTTGACGATACCCACTTCATTTAGTACTGATGTTTAAATGGTTTAAAGCTATCACGAAGTAAGGAAATTCGCTCTTTGGGACACTTTATAATTTCCACTAAACTAATTTCAAGAAACTCGAGTTTCTCTTTTCTTTACGTTCGTATTGTCGATTAATATTGAATAATGCTTCTCTTGTCATCCTTATTGGTGGCCGCATACTGGGACTTTTGGCCAGTTTGTAGAGTCAAATACGCCTATGGGTTGCATCGCATTGTGATTAAATATATGTAGGTGCTAGAGCGATGTCATCAGCATAGGCGAAAATCTAGGCCGTCGTGTTCAGCCTGAGCCTCTTAGGGCCGGTTACTCACTGTCTGGTTAACACTAATCTGCGGTCAAACATCGTTATCGACGTCTTCGACTCCATGCATACAACATGGCGTCGGTAACGTCGATAACGATGTTTAACCTGTAGTTAGTGTTAACCAGACATTGAGTAACCGGCCCTTAGAGTTGTTGCACTGTTCATTTATAGCACGACAAAGCCTGTTCATTTATAGCACGACAAAGCGTCCGATTAAAATTGTCCCTGATAACACGTCTCCTTTTTTATCTCCTTATGAACTTCTCTGATGTCTTTCTTTTTATATATACTTTGCAGAAAGTGTTTTTTATTCTCATAATAACGAGATATTATTAGTTTGCCAGGGACCTTAAAACTCATCAGCGTACCCGGTATTTCTCATTTGGTTACACTATCGAATTCTTGTTTAAAATCTACAAATAATAGGTAGAGATCCTAATTTTCCATTCATTGTATGACGGCGAAAATTTTGTCTATAGTTGATCTTCCTGGGTGAAATGTACACTATTAATTAAATAGTACTCTCTCACTGTATTGCTTATTGTTATATGAATTTTACTATTTGTAAATTAATTTTTTCACTTCACAGGAAAGACTCTGTCGTGAGTGATCGCATAAACTATGATTTGCTTAAGCGTATCCAGAACATTCAAGAAGGCAAAGTAATCGAGCCCACGCTACTTGGTAAAGGCAATCATTCCAAGACGAAAGATACGCTGCCACCTGCGCTCCAGAAACAGTTAGAATTGAACGGTTGCTGCGAGAACAAATGACCACCCAATGCGCTGGCGCAAACTACGAATGGGCAATGTTGTGATGAGCAGTAAATTGTATGTGTAATACGTAGAAGTAAAAAATGTGATGCTATAGGTTTACGATGATGGCGATCTTTTATACCCATCGTCGAAGCTGCAAATTGATTTTTTTTTTTTTTGTTATTCAAAAACAAATATGAGGGAAAAGAAAAAATGTGACTAGTTGATAAAGTTTAATGGAAAATTAATTAATACACAGCTGACTGGAAAAAAGCGTAATTTAAATCGATATTGTCTTAAACAAAATTATATACACCCATAGGTCTGCGTGGCCGTGAATAAAATTTACTGTTTTGAGATTGTTGATTATTATTCTTAAATATTTTGTGGGGACATAGGATGAATTTAATGTTTAATGTGTCTCCCTTCATTGAGATACGTTGTGAAACAAAAACTACAAATAGTTGTGAAGTATTCTATGTATGCATGAGCACTGAAAACTATTAAAAATGGGGCTTCACAAGACCAAAATATTAAAACGTTTATTTAATATATTTACTAGATCTATATTATAAGCTATTTAATTGCCTACTTATAAATGCATTTAAGATTTACCTGTTTGATTAATTATAACTACCTTATGAGCCAATCGAAGTAATTCGAACCAATAGATAACGGAAATTCAAAAATATTTGAAAGTGTTTTGAAATCACAGTGTGCTTTAGTTCTTTGAAAGAAAAAACAAGACCGTTTATGAACTACTTTTAATACAAAATCAGAAATAAAATCAAGAGTACTTTACTTATTAAACCTTATCACAAACCACGCAAAAAACAGGCGCTTATTTTTTGGTACTAAAATTTTTAATTTCTGAAAGTCTTTATTTCGGTAAGTAATCTATTTGCAGAAATTATAAAATTCAACGCTTCGACTTTAAAAGGACAGAGAAAAAGGTATGGAACACCTGATTTTGTAGAGGAAATTCGATACCTGCGAAATTTTACCAGCTTCCAAGTACATACATACACTGCCGGCAAAAAGTTTTGGCACAGCTGCTTTTTTACAATATATGCAACAATTTTTATTGTAATATTTTTCCGCCAATTTTTTATATAAATATGGTTCATTCTACAACAAAAAAGATAAAAGTATAATTTCTAAACTTTGCGCAAAACTGGCGAAGTATCAGATCTTTTCTTATCAGATTTAATCAGATTTTTTATAACTTTTTTCAGTATGCAAATTTGTAGCCCAATCAATTTTATTGTACTAAAGTAGAAGTTCTAAGTAGCTACGAATTACCGTTGATTTTTGGCATTTTTTTTTTTCTATTTTATATGGAAAAAATGCAAAACACCTTCAACAAACAAAATTCTCAAAAATCAATCCAATTTTTGACTAACTCCGAACTTGCTTTTTTTATACTAGAATTTTATAGACTACAAAACTGCATACTCAAGAAAATTCGAAAAAATCTGAATAAAAAGTTGAAAACTTGTATGAAAATTAATTGATTAATTATTGTTATTCTTATGTTTATTATAAATTTTTGTTTTAAGAATTACTATTTATTTTATTTTTCTGACACTTCCTGTTACTTGTTGTACTATAAAAGATCGTAGATCTTTTTTTACTAATGTTTTTTCGCAAAAAAATAAATGAAATGAAATGAATTTCGCGAGTTTTGTACAAAGTTTAAAAATTATATTTTTATGTTTTTTGTTGTAGAATGAACCATATTTTTATCAAAAACTAGCGGTAAAATATTATAGTAGAAATTGGTGCATACATTGTGCGAAATTCGCTGTGTCAATACTTTTTTCCGACAGTGTACATAGATACACGCGTCAATGCCGGAGGTGAAGAAATTGAATTGGATTTCAGAAACTCACGATCTCCCTAAAACAAGTGTTGAAAATTCTTCCCCGGATTATGTAGAATAAATGGATTTTAGAAAGTATTCTGGGCTATCGCTGAATCCATCGTAGTTGCTACGAACATATGCATTCAAAGTGCATATACATATGTACGTATGCCACGTTCGAAGCTATTCGTATGCAGTGATTTCACGAAAAATCGGTCTACGATGGATTCAGTCCTGATTAAGTTTGGAAAGAGGACAGAAGTAAAATTATATTTTAAGTATATTGACCTTACGGCAGTTGGGAATGTTACGCAATAAGTCAAACAGTAAGTAATTACAAACATGATGATGATGATGTTATGTTTTTATCATGATTACAAATGCCTATAATTTCTTAAAACATTTTATGACAGCTTTCAATTAGTTATATTTATTAAAAAACGCTATATGTATGTATACTTTCTCCATTTGCACAATAGTAACATTATCATTATTGAGCCGCACAAAGCGAAACTTCATCTCGGCTTAATTCTAAATTGAGTCCGGGCGGTAAGCGCGGTACATGTTCATTTCATTTGGAAAGGTTTTGAACAGTTCTAGTAGCATATTCGCTTTAAATTTGCGGTATGCATCAATTTTTCCCTTGACTTCTTCGTTCTTAGCCAAGGCTTTCTCAACACAATCTTTTGTATATAGCTGCGGGTTTTTGTCTTGATCAATGTAATCGAACACTTCGAATGGCACAAATACATCCTGCACTTGGTTTTTAAGTTTGTCGATCTCCTGAAGACCAGTCACCAAGCCTTGACTGCGAAAATAGGGAGTGAATTATAGCATATGTAAATACTTATTGAGCTCAACCAGTACGTGATACTTACATTTTTTGATTTAATACATTTTGACCCTATGGAGCAATAAAAATAAAAAATAAATTACAAACTAACACAGGTGTGTGTTTGCTACAAACCTGCGGCTGAAAATCACTGACTATAATCCGAATTTGTCGCACATTCTCAATAAACATCTCCAACTGCGTCTCTAAATTTTCCAATGGGGCAGACATTTCGCAATATTAACAAAGTTTTAGCTGTTTTAAACAATTAAAAACGAAAATTTACAGATCGCTGCACACAAACTTTGGGTAGATTTTACGAATTTGCGAGTAAAACAAAAGTCGAAACAATTGACAGTTTGCACCATTGCTGCCATATTTGGCAAAATTGCTGCAGATCCAATTAGATATAGAACTTTAGAAAAGTATCGATACTAGTACTCATATAGAACACTCTAATAATATTTCTATACATTTTCGTGAAATCCTTTGTGTGTACTTTTTTTCTCAACTAAAATTCTCTAATTTCTAAAGATTGGCATTGCACTTTTGTTTTAGAAATGTGGTTCTTATAAAAGAACGTAAATCTATAAGAATGGGCAACACGTTATAATTGTAGCGAGTGTGAACATCAGAATCGTGCCTTCTCTTTTGCCCAAATAAGTTTTTAGACTGGATGAAAAGATAAGGCACGCTCCTGATGTTCACACTCGCAACAATTATAACGTGTTGTCTCTTCTTATAGATTTACGTTCTTTGTTCTTAATTTATTGCTAAATGGCAAGGATTAAAAATGATGGCATCTTTTTGGCATTTTTATTTTTCTATTTGGCACTTTTTTATCCTCGATATGGCACCTCATAGGTAAAAATAGTTGGCAGCCCTGTTTGACAGCCAAATGCACTCAATGCAGTTTTTTACTTTGTTTTGCTCGGGTTGTCCTGCACTGAAAATTTCATACCAAGGGCTGCATTGGGTTTTTACGTAAATCCATTTTATCAAAAATTACGTGGATTATGTCGCGGCACGCATTAATCGGTTTGTAGATATGTACATACATACATTTGTATATAGAATAATAATTGGTTGAAGGTTTTGTAACTAAAGATATCAGTATCCTTTAGGTGGTGGTACGGGATTCATTGGCAATGGACTGAGCAAATGTTTGACTAAAAATGGCTACGATGTCACCGTGATATCCCGCATGCCTGGGTTAAAGCGTATCACTTGGCTGGAACTGGAGCGAAGCGGCATACCCAATAATGTCACCGCTGTAGTAAATTTAGCAGGGCAAAATGTATTAGATCCTAGTCGTCGGTGGACAGATGGCTTCAAACAAAATGTATGGACCTCGCGTGTTAATACTAGTGTAGCATTAGTAAAAGCTATAGGAGCAGCACCTCAAGTTAAAGCTTTTGTGAATGTATCGGGCGTAAGCCACTATAAGCCAGATGATAAGCACGTATATAATGAGAATGATTCGGTACAAGGGTTTGACTATATGTCAAAATTGTGCTTGGAATGGGAGAAAGCTGCAACCCTGCCTCCGGATGTAACACATTGTAGAAATGTAAGTAAAACTAAAAGTAGAACATCTCATGTTATTAACATTAAGAGCAAAATGATTTTTGCAGATCAAAATACGTACTGGAGTAGTTATCGGTCGTACAGGCGGTATGATAGAGAACATATGGCTTCCTTTTCAATTGGGGCTTGGTGGTCCAATAGGAAGTGGAAAACAAATTTTACCATGGATACATCTTGACGATTTATGCCAGTTGGTAGTCCATGCGATTGAAAATGATAAAATCGAAGGAGTATTAAATGGAGTCGCGCCGGAAATAGTAACAAATGGTGAATTTTCAAAAGTGAGTACATTTAAATCTATTGAAAAATATACTGCATGTGTCTATAATCTTAATTTACTGACTAAATGTATTATATTTG